TTCCAATTTTCTGTGGTTTTCATACTCTTGCTGTAGAATAAGCCTACATCTTCTGGCTGTCAGTTCAGCAACTCTGGCACAGAGTCTCTCGAAACCTAATCAACTTTAGACCACACAGAGAGAAATTAAATGGATCTATCAAATGGATATATATATATGCCTTCAACTTTTTACTCCAGCATTTTCTCACAGCCAAACTCCTTAGTGTTTGCACTTCCGAAGAGACCTCACACACATACACACAGAGGAACCCTTCCCAAACATCTTGCGCTTTGGAATAGTTACTGATGGAGAACCATGATGTATTTGTGACTGCTGAAGTGGCTTGCCAATGAAGGAAATAGGAATATTCCCACTTTACAGTGTGGGAAACTGAGGCACCAAGCAAAGTGCTTGGGTCAGAGCTGGGAAGCAGAATCCAAATTTCTCCAACTCACTGCCCAGTTTTTGTCCCACTACAATGGGGCTTCTCTTGAGAGCTGTTCACCTGTTAAGAGCAATTTTTAGGTGCAAAATGAATTTGGGTAGAAATACAAAGAGTAAGCCTCTTATTGCCTTTAAATAATGCTTTAAGCATGTGTTTCCTTTATTTATTTATAGAATGCAAGCCAACTCACCGAAGGTATCCCCACCTGCCCACCCGAGACCCGCGCTATCCTTGCAGCCAGTGTGAGCACGCTATTGCAAATGGGCTTTGCCCACGTTGTCCCTGCAGCTGCAGCTCGGCTGCATTCGAATGTTCCCTTCTTCCCCCACCCAGCCCTGCGGTCCCGCCTGTCCCTGTGTCACCTCAAACAAAACACAGTGGCACAAGCAGCAACCGGAGACTCTGGCACGAGACACACAGCAGCCTCGTTCCTCTGAGCAAAGTACTTCCATGCACTGCTGCTTGGGAGATGCTGCAGGACCGGCAGTGATGGCATAAGCCAATGCTGATCCCAGCTTTCATGCAGAACCATAAAGTGTCAGCTGTGCTTAGCAATCCTGCAAAAATGCAGTGGCAACACGCACTTTAGATATCTTAGTTTTTTTGTTTGCCTTTTTTCTTTTTTCCTATATTTTTGGTATTCTAAATGAATTTCTCCAAATGTCATCTTAATTCATGGTAGAGCATGGCAAGGACTCAGCCACGTGGGGCAGGGTATTTATGTCTATTTAAGAGTATTTATGGGCTGAGGATTCTCCTGTGCTGGTGAACTGCTGCTGAAGACTGTTTTGGGCTGAGATATTGCCCCTGTTTTCAGGCTACATCCTTTCACTGATGTTGTTTTGCATCTGCGTATGGCAGGACGAGCACTGAAGGCAGTGAACTCATTTGGGCTTTCTTCCGCTGGCCTTAAACAAGTGGATGAGCCCTGGGTGAGTGACCTGGGTGGTGGCAGTGGGTGAACCACGGCCGTGGGGAAGGGAAGGCAAGACCCCATCCATGCCACAGGTCACTCAGAAAGGAAGAGCCAGGAAGGGATGAGCTGCATGGGTAGCCCCCGCTGTGCACATCTCCATCTGCCATACAAGTGTTTGGGTGAAAATGTCTCCGCTCCTCCACTTAAGCCCCCATTTTGGCCCCCTCTTGCTACCAGCACCTCAGGAGCTCAGCCTATCTAGCAAAATTGGGCTTTTTTGCTCTCTCTTTCTCTCTGCCATCCATTTCCCCCACACTCACAGCACCTTTAAAACCCACTTCACCTGCTCTCTTCAATTCGTGGTGGCCAAATAGAACTGCATTTGCCTTGAACTGCCTTAGCTTGGGAAATCTGCTTTTTACCCAAGCCCATCACAATCATTCTGGTTACATAAGCTGAGTTCATTATATTTATTTTAAAGAAGCTATCACAGATATTCACCCTAGCCATAAAAGTGGCTGGCAAAATAAAACCCCATATCGTTGGTATTCATCTATGGGGAAAAATCCCACGATGTCCCAATGGGAACTCCAATCACTTCCAGCAGTCACTTTAGACAAACACCTCCTATCATGCTAGCCATTCCTCATGGCCAAACCCAGAAACCTGATTTGGTGCCATTTGCACATTTTTGGATATTTGATATTAGTCTCATGGTACAGAAATGTCCCTGTCACTATTCAACCTTCCCCGAAAATGCTCTGGCAGAACAACCTGTAGGTCATAAAGATTCAGAGCTTGTCCTTGTCCGAGTGCACCATAAATTCCTGCAGGTCTGAGACTAAGAAAATCAGGAATTTTAGGAAAAAAGAATTTTAGGCTGACAAAATTTTAGGCCCCGTGGGAAAGCACTTGGTACCTCTTGGGTTTCTTGAAACCTAAAGCTAAATCTTGCGTCACAGATACCATCGATCTCTGGTCCCCACCCTGGATGAGATGCTCCGGATCCCGCTGGTTGTCTCAGCTACAGCCCTCTGTGCAAAAGCAGTGTTGGGGAGAGGATCCAGCTGGGAGATTCCCATAAAATAAACTGACCCATCATCACTGGTATAAAGCAGATGGATAGAAGAGGCAGGGAGTTGCTCAAAGAAATCAAAGAAAGTAAACGCCTGCTGTCTCCAATCTGAGCCAGGTCCTTCCCAGCCCCTGCGTGGAGCGGGGCAGCCTTTCCAACCGGCACTTCTGAAGCCGAGCACTTTGTGGTCTGGAAGATTAATAGGAAATCTCTTCTAGCTTGGGAGATATTCCCTCTTTTATCAGAGTAAACCCCAAAGAGTAATGGCCATAGGGCAGGAACAGGAAAGTAAATTGCAGTAATAATATTTTTCCTTGTGCAGACATGCTTTTGATCATAGAAAAATACACCACCTGCTTCTAAATTACTTGTTGTATTGATTTAACAGTTAGTAACATTTTTTTTCTTTTTTTCTTTTTTGCAAATCCATTTTGCAGGGTCTCTTGGAAACCTGACAGTTATGTGCAATAAAAGAACGGGTCTACCCAGCATGAAAGGTTTAGTCTGCCCAGCTTGCGGGCTCCTCAGTCAAGGCTGGACTTGCCTTCACTCTGTGATTGCCTCCATCCCCTGGTTCGTCTGCCAGACCTCCTCTTCATTAGGCAAATGATTAATTTCCAGTCTGTGCCTGGTGCTCTGCGCAAGCCGGCTATTCTCCTTGGAGCAGGGACCTAGCAGAAAGCAGCCTCCTTGACAAGAAGTGTCAAGGCACGCGATAGCAGCATTTTACATACACAGCTGATTAGGGAAAACACTTCCAAAATTTGGAATTTCCTCTAAAATAAGCCTGTGAAAGGCGCCAGCTGCTGTCAGCAGCCTGGCCAGCAACGCTGCCGCTGTACCGCGCTGCTCACATTAGTGTCACACTTGGGACAGGTTCACACTGCGGAACAGCGTACATGAATTATCATTAAAAATAATGTTATGTTTTGTAGGTAATTATTTGCTATTATACTTTCAGTAGCCAGAGGGTTTGCCTTCCGCAGAGTTCTCTCTAATTCGCTTTCCCAGGAGACTCTGGACTCCCTGACATACACGCTCGGGGCCAAGACAGAAGGAAAAGGTTAACACAATTTGTCACTTAACAGCAATGTGAACATGGGCCTTCCCTGTCCCTGTCTCATTGCAGAGGCTTCCCTGAGAGCTCTGCTCTTGCTGCTGACCCAGAAGTGCCGGACGAGCAAATCTCCACTCCCGTTAGGAAAGTGCCTTCAATTCACATGTCTCATTACAACATACAAATGCCTCACTCTGGGCTGGCCTCCCTGGAGAAGGGGCTCTGCAGGCACAGCCTCCCGTAAACCATCCTCCCAGACGACGTGTAGCAGTAGGACGAGGTGTAACATAAGGCCAGGAAACACTGCTGGATTCTGCCAAGTTTTGTCTGAGATCTTGGCGATTTCTGTGCATTTTTGCTGCAATTGGAAACATCTGTGAATGCCCCTCCACTGGCTCTAGGAAATGCAGATCAGTTGTTGTCTTTGCATGGTGCCTTGCTCAACACTGGGGAAAGCCGTCGAGCCCCAGGAGTTAAATAAAAGCAGCTTTGTCGATAGCTGCCTGAAACTCTCAGTCTGAAACTGATCTTGGGAAAGGGGTGACAAGATGTCAGCTCATCAGCTGACACACCAGGCCATCAGCATTTTGAATCCTCTCCTGTCCTCTGCTAAGCAAAATGACAAGCAAAACTAACTTCATCTAGTATTGGCCAAAGAGTGAGCAAGGGTCTCCAAGGACAAGGGAAACTGAGGCCTTGAAAGACCTTTTATAACAAACTGGTATCTCAACACAGAGACCCCTCCCTGCCTTGCTGCATCGCCTTGAACCACCAAGCAAAAGCTTTTCACGCTTTTTGATGTCCTGGCAGAAACACCCCAAGGCCCAGGTCAGGTTAGCTGCCTTATACAATGCTCCTACTTCTCCAAACAAAACAGGAGACAGACCTTGGCTCCCACTGGTTGCCATCTGCAATGTTTATTTCACCAAAAAAATAGTAATCCTCGTGCAGAATCTTTTGGCTCATAAAACAAGTTGTTTCCCACCAGCCACCTGACAACCCTCCCCTCATAAACCAAGAAACAAAATAAGCCCAGATCCAGGAGTTAGTAGAAGAAAACGAAGCATCCAAATCTGGGAGAGAAAAGTGGTTTCTGTCATTAGCTACAAGACCAAGTAGCTCTGCAAAGGGAGTGCTCATCCAGAGCTCCACCTGGGCATGGACATGGAGCTGGCTCTGGTGTTGTGTTTCCAAAACGCGTGTCTGGAGGAGTGGATGCATCCGCTTTGCAGTATTTGAGGACTCTCCCTGCGCTTAAAACAGGGCCACATCAGCATCTTTAACTGGGCTATATAAATATAAAACATCAATACAAACAGATTCTTTGTACAGAAAATATCATCTCTCAAGGCACTAGAGTGATAGCAGGGCTGGCCGGGGTGGTCTCTCCACCGGGGACTTTCCGGGCTTCCCGTGAGTGACGGTGTCTGAGGCAGGAGGGGACAGAGCAGCTGCTGAACGTGGGACCAGAGAACTCCTGGCGCTGCGTCCGAGAGAGGCTTTTGACTACAGCTGCCCGGAAGATGTTCCTGCAGTGCTGTTTTTTCTGGACGATAAGGGTTTTTCTTGGCTGTTGTGGCATGACCTGGGGGTTCTTATCTCATCTGGATGGCTTTTGGTTTAGTTTGGCCTGGAGGGAGTTGTAGGTGCATAGATCTCATGGAGGTGTTGGATACTGCTCTGCCTGGCTCTTTTCTCCATCTTCATGCCAGCAGCCCAAGCCGCGTCACCTTGGCTGAGAGGAATGAGTGGATGATGAAGACAATGGTTTTGGGGCAGGAGTGAAGGTCCAATTGCTGCAAGAAAGGAACGGAGGCACATGTGCAATGGTAAAGGCTTTGCTCAGAGTAGTCAACTTTCTCCTTCTGATGGGAAGAGCTCTACAATCTGCCATGAAGAAGCTGCTAGGAAGCCAACAACCACTGAGAGCCTCCCGAACCCCACTACGGCTCCACTGGGGCTCTGCGAAGGGCCACAAGCACCAGCACAGATGGAAGGAGCACAGCCCTAGGAGAAGAAGGCCAACCCCCTTGCTAAGAGAGATGGGTGCTAGGCAGAGTGCTGCTGTCCTCCTCCAACTGCCCTCCCAGGGGGGGAGTGTGGGGAGAGCAAAGGCATGAAAGAAGCCTCAGACAAAGCCAACTCACAATCTCTCCCTCTGGGCCACCAAAATCCAAGTAGAGCATCTTGGTGCCATCATCAGAGGACATCTGCAGCTTCTCGAAGGGCTGCTGGAGCAGGATTGTCTTGCTGAGCCCAGGCTCCGTGGTGAAGATGGTGAAGCCTTTGTCGATGTGGATGGACAGAGTGCAGTCCTGCCCATTCCATGTGCAGGCTGAAGGAGAAGAGGTGGACAAATCACATGCGTCCCACCAGCACATGCCCCAACCTCCTCTGGTTGCCTCCTGGGTGGCCAGGGGCTGGCCAAGCTGGACACCTTTAGACCCTTGCATGACCATATGGGCCTCCATATGATGGATTCTCACCACTACCACTTTGCATCCCTGCAGGGCTGCAAAGTTGAGCTCCAAGGCTGGCTTAGAGCCCACAAACAGGGATGACCTGTGCTCACTGCTCCAGGCACCCCTTAACTCGGTCATGGGGGCTGTCCCACTGCAGGCCCCAACCGTAGGGGAGTGTCCACAGCCCTTCCTCCACTGACCTGTGGAGACCTCCTGGACGAGCTCGGCAGCACCATGGGTGCCATCCACCAGCATGCGCGTCCACACGGCCAGGTCGCGGTGGGTCTCCAGGCTGAAGAGGTGGGTCTGCACACCCAGGCGTGTGCCCGTGCGCAGCGCGAAGGAGAGCTCGGCGTCGTAGAGCGGAGAGCCCTTGGCAGGGCCCGAGTGCACCAGCCTGCGGCACCCACACGGCATTAGCATCCGAGATGAGGGGGCCGCTGCAGCCCCACGGATCAGGCGGACCCGACCCTGCGCACATGCGCACACACACAAATATGCACACGCACACCGTGCATACGATCGGGTGTACATTGTGCAGACATATACACTGCGTGCTGCATCCGCACCCCTGCGCTGTGCCCACCCTACGCACCCGCCTATGTGCACACACACCTTGCACACCCACCCTGCACCCACCTGGTGGCAATGAGGGGGTAGTTGTGCGTGGGCTTGCTCAGGGCGTCCCGGGTCTGTGGGAGGCTGTTGTAGAACAGGAGGTCCTTTTCGGTCAGGACGGCCAGCACATTCCTCGTCCCATCGCTGGGCAGCTGAGAAGCAAAGGGTTAGCAGGATGCAGCCATGCCCAGCAGCACGTATGACCAAGTCCCCCTTTGGGGACCTCCCTCGCCAGCTCCACATCGCTCTGTCCCCCAACACCCATTTCCAGGTAGAGCAAAGCCTGGAGCAGCAGCCAGACCCATTGCATGGGGCGAGGGGGGACCCGCTTGCCTTAGCCCACCCTGGGCACATCCACCCCGGGACGGGATTACCTGCTCGGTGAGCCAGCCCACGTGCTTGACATCCTTGCTCCCGGCCATGCCGGCACCAGCCAGCTGGGCCCGTAGCTCCTCCTTGACCCTGGGCAGCAGCCCGTTGGCGTTGGTCTGGATAGCATTGAACCACGACTGTGCGGTTGCCTCGTCCTTGGCCCGCAGGAAGAGGGTGATGCGCCCATCCGCCGAGCACACCTCCAGATACCTGCGGAGGGATGGCCCGCTGGGTGCAGCACTGTCATCCTGCACCCTCAGGTGCAGGAAACCATTGGTGCTGGCTCCATATGGCCCCAGCAGCAGCAGAGGTGGCTCTAGCCCTGGAAGACCCCCCAGTCTTACCTGTGCTCCGGGTCGCTTGGGAGACACTTGCGGGACACATAGCACATTTTCAAAGGCAGGTTCTTCCCCTCCTTGAGGTCCCGCAGGGAGAGGACGGGAGATGCCCGCTTCTGGAGCGAGGCCGCAGGCGAGGGGTCCCAGCTGACAGTAGCCCCGGTGGAGGAGTTCTTGAAGTATGGAGAGATCTCCTTCATGTACTTCACTGCAGGGGAGACAGGCTGTGGCTCAGGACTTGGCACCTGGTGACCTGCAGTGGGGTCCCCATGCCCCAGCAGACACCTTGCTCCATAACTTCCTTGGAGAGGTGAGAATCATCATCCATGTGGGGACCCTGGAGCCCAGCACATCCTTTGCCCACACCCTGTGCCAGCATTGGATCACGACATCGGGTACTAGGTAGCAGACAGGACTTCCAGCATTCCCAAGAGCCTTTCCCCCTTTTTCCTTTCCAGATGTTGCAACATCTGGAGGCCTGGAGCTGAGCTGGGCATCCTCACACTGATCCCTGCAGGTCCAAGGATGCTAAAGCGGTGTCTAGCCTGGCCTGTCCCTGCAGGGGCAGGGGCATCCCAAGGCAGGAAGCAGCCTGGCCCAGGGCAGCACCAGCGTAAGGCTGAAGACAACCCTGGAAACGTTTGCCTGGAGGCAGCCCCCGTCCCACAGAACCACACGGACCCAGCCGTGCTGCAAAGCACCACAGGAACTGAGCCAGGTTAAAAATAGCTCTTTCCTCTCTCTCTCTCTCTCCCTTTATTTATTTATTTTATTTATTTTTTTAAACTGGAGCAGCTCACAGATCCAATTCCAATCGAGTCCCCCAGGCAGCCAGGGTGGCACACGGAGGCACGGGGCGGGGAACGGGCAGCGATCCCAAGCCAAAATTACACAGTCCAAATTGTGCTGGTACAGCCAGTCCAGCAGCCAACAAGGAACAAAGCAGGAATAGCTCTGAAATACCATGGCTTGGCCCCAGGAGAAGCCCTCAGCTGCACTCGTGCAGCTCACATAACCCCCGGACAATTAGCTCCAAACCAGGGAAAAGAAATTATCCTTAAGAACCCAGCAGGGCTGGAGCCAGAGCCCTCAGAGCTGCATCTGTACCACAGCCCAGGTCTGGAGGTTTAGGGGAAGGAGGAGATGAAAGCTGCTGGGGATTGACAGGGCCCCAGGGCTACATCCCAAAAATTAGGTCATCATCTCTCAAGGCATGGGCCAGAACCCTTTGGCGGAGTGTGGAGCAGCTGGGGAGCTCATCGCGAAAGTGTCACTGCGAGGAAGGGAGAGCAAACGGGACTTGCAAAATGCCCAAGCAGACCCTGTGCCCCATGTCCCCTTGCCTGGGTGGCAGCACGAGGGCAGGGGAGGCGGCGCAGCCCCTTTCTCCATTTGCCCCGCGATCGGGGTGCTCTGGGGACACCGCTCCGAGTTGTGCCCGCTCGCAGCGTGCGCTGGGGACGCAACTATAAATGGCTGCGTTGCCTCTCGCACACGTGGCTCGGGTTACTCTGCAGCGCGGCACCCGGCGCGGGGCTGCACGCCCAGTATAAATAGGCACCCGCTGCGTGCAGCTGGGCATGTGAGCCAGGCTGGATTTGGCCCCGCGGCATTAATCGGGGCAGCGGGACCTGCCGTCGTACTGCTGCCTGGGAGCAAACTGGGGTTCAGAAAAACAATGTCCGTATCCCGAAACACAAGGCACATCCTTGAGCGTCGGTGGCCCTGGGGTGAGCGGGGCTGCGGTGTCAGGGCAGTGTCCAGGCTGCAGGGGGCGGTTCCAACTGTCCCATGTGGCATCTCCATGGCGTCCCAGGCACGCGGGACACATCACTGGCATTAGCTTCATAGCACCCGGATCCCATCCTCAGGTCGGCACGAGGACACCAAAGGGACCTCAAGCTGGTTCTGAAGCACCAGGATGTCCCAGCACTAGCAAGTCCCTTTCCATTGCACTTCGCGTCCCTCTCCCCCACCCCAGGACAATTTACACAGCTTAATTTCTGCCCTGCTTTTTGCAGCCTTTGCAATGCAAACTGCCATGGACAGGCATCACCAGCATCCCGAGGGGTGATGGGCACTGTGAGAAGGTGCCTCCATCTGCAAGGAGCAGGCAGACAAGTCCAAAGCTACAGTTCTTCGCTTAACTTTATCCCAAATCAGACCAAACCCCATCCAGGCTACCAAACCAGCACTTTCTGCAAGAAGTTCTCCCTTGGGATACATCAAACATGAGTCTGGGGCTCTGCTTTTGGAGAGGACCAACAGGCAAGTGGGGCCGATAGCCCAGTTGGAGGCATCTGCATGGGGCAATACGGGACGTGACTCTGCAATGGGGGAAGAGGCCCACAGCCCTCCTAGTCACAGCGAGACCAGCACAGGAGAAGTGCCTAGGATGGGGAACGTTGCCACCATGCCCTGTCAGGGAGTGATTTGCTTTCCCGGGGGAAACGGAGAAGTCTTTGCAGGGAACCAAATTCCAAGCAGGATCCCAGTGCTACCCCAGGTCACCGTGCATTGTGCGCCCTCCAACAGCACCACAAAGAGGAGCACAAAGATGATACGGGCTAATAACAGCACTGCTGCTGTTTTTATGAGGTATAGGCTTAAACCTCTGTCGGTCCTTTTGGTACAGCAAAATAGTCTGCCACTACTAAATGGATTAATTAATTACACTCATCTCATTAAAGCAAGTGACTTGGACCATATTATGTATGAGCTCTGCTGCTGGCAACATTAATTCTAACACTGGACATTTTCTTTCTTTCTTTCTTTTTTTAATTACCATTTAAGAGGCTGGCTGCACTGCCCCTGTTCATCAGCACCACTCCAGAATCACTCAGCAGAAATGTTGCATCACAGCTCCCAGCTTGGAGCCACTTCCAGCAGGAAGAAAAGTCTCAGCAGTTGCCGGCCATGATCTGCACGGCCCTTAAAGCAGCGCTGCCTCCATCTCATCCTGCAGAGCCTCCCCAGCGAGGAGAGGGCAGGGATGGGACCTCTCCGTGGACACGGCTATGGCAACTGAAGCCCAGCCCTGGGCGCCACCGCCTCAAAACCTCCTTCCAGCTCATGTCACAGATTATCCTCCATCCTTTGGGTATTTTTGGTTCTGCAACCCGTGGATTTCTCTGCTGCCTGGAGCTGTCTGCCCTTCCCATGCTTAACCTGACCCTCACCAAATCTGAGCGACCCACTCTGCTGTCTACCTCCTGTCCCTTTAGCTTTCCTGATTTTCAAGCTGTTATTCGGCCAAGAAGGTCAATGAGACCTGTGGCAGCACCTGGAGCTGCCCAAGGGTGCAGGCAGGAGGGTTGAGCTGCCCCAGTCCTGCGGGGGAGATGTCTGCTGAAACGCGTCCTGCTGCAAGCCCTCCTTTCTGCTGCTGCCTGCAGCTTGCTCCTCGTGCTGATACAGCACAGGGACCTTTCCTGGAAAACCTGCTCCTGGAAAAACTGCTTATCCTGGCACCAAAGCCATTCCCTGGGCAGCTGGGAGGATGTTTACCAGCCTTTCCCCCTGCTGCAGAGGCTCTCCGACACAAAGCGAGACAAAAAAGTAAGGGAAAAATAAGGTAAGGCAGAGCAACTCTCCCCAAAATAACAATGTAACCTAAATACAGGCAGGCTCCTCACATAAATATCAAGGGTGAAGTTTGGCACCTCCCGAAAGCCTTGGCAGGACGCAGGGAGAGGCATGTGCATGCCATCATGCCCGGCCAGCATCAACACCCGGGATCTGCAAGCCGAGTGCGGCAGCCCAGGATGAAACCTGGCAGGTGACACTGCTTTGGATATGGGGAATAAACTAATGCCAAGGCTTCAGCTCTCCCATGGGGTAGAGCTCTCCTCAGGAGCCACCCAAGCCTGTTTCCCTGTGCTAAATTCTAGTACTAGATTTTGAATAATTATAGCTAATGTGAACGTGAGAGAAATTGGGGCTAAATCCAAAGCTGGGGCAGGGGGACCCAGTTTCCAGCATCCCTGTGCTTGGAGGTTGCGCTAGGGGCCTGGCCCCAGCCACCCGCGAGGCGCCACCGCGTCACCGCCCAGCGGCGCAGAACAGGCACACGCTGCCAAAGAAACCTCCTACGGCCCAAAACAAACTCCCTTCGCAAGGGCAGTGGGGAATAACGCTGGCCTCAGCACACTTGTCACCCTGCGGCTTGTTTGTGCTCAGTTGCTTGACATGGCCCGGGGCGGGATGCGGCACGTGAGCGCCCACAGAGCCGCCTCCAGGCACGTGGGAGGGAGGGAACAGGGAGGCATCCACGTAGCCGGACTATGGTAGCGGGAACTCTCCGTGCAACTCTCTCCCTCCATCTGAGCCCCAGGGAGCCCAAGGAGCCTGGCAGATCCATAGAGAGAAGCGGCTTCTTGAAGGAAGGACGGCTCATCCTCACCCCATGTAGGACCCTCAGCAGGAGCAAAGCACGAGCCAAAGTACAGGATGAAAAGGAAAGAGCAGCAGAGAGGGTGGTCTGGGTACAGCAGACTGCAGGAAGGAATTTCAGAGGCTCCGAGAGAAAGAGGTTCTTGTGTTTCTCTTTGGTCAAAGAGGAAAAAAAAAAAAAAAGGTCGCTCCGGGCTCCTAGCAGCTGTGCAGAGCAGCACATTCCTCAGGCTGAAATGCGGTTCTGCGGCTCCCAGGAGAGGAGGAACCCACAGTGAAAAGGGCTGAGCAAAGCTAAAATTAAGATTTGGAGGCGATACAGCATGGGGAAGGAGCAGGAAAGAAAACGCTGTGAGGTCACTTGGAGCAGAAGACGCAGCTCCCTCTGCCTCCCTTGCTCTCCCTCCATTGCCCAGGCCAAGCCTGGGGAGCCCAGGGCGCTTCCTCAAACTAAAATCCTCCTTTTGGCATCTGCAGCCCTACAGCAGCGAGGGAAACCCATTTCCAGCACAGAAATTGTCTTGAATAGACCCCCTTGAATAGATGGGGCAACCCATCAGGAGGACAGAGACGTCCTTCCAGCTCCGCTCTGACACGCAGGTTTGTCCTCAACCGCACTAGGTGCCGTGGCCAAAAATCACAGGAAAACCAGAGTTTACCATTGCCCATGAACTGTTCTGCAAAACCCACAGAGTTGCCATGCGGGATGCAGCCCGGCCGGGCTCCGAGCTCAGTGCCAGTGCCTGCTGCTCCCACCGTCTCTGCAGGGACATCCCGGCAGTGCTCTCCAGCTCTGCATACAAGCAGCTAAACCAGGCTGCACATATTGGCTTTCATTTAAAAGACTATGCAAATGTGCACACAGAGGACATGCCACCCTCGGGCTCCAGCTCTCGGTGCACATCTGGCCCACAGAGCACCGAAAGAGCAATAACTAGATAACAGCACCTGGGAAAGAACACTGGCCCCGTTGGGAGCAGCCACAGCTCCTACCTTCCAAAACCACCTCCTTGCCCGTCTTCTTCAGCGCCTGCACTGCCTCGTCATGCGTCGCCTCCGAGAGGTCGGTGCCGTTCACAGAGAGGATGGCGTCTCCCACGTACAGCGCCTCCGTCTGATCCGCTGCCAGCCCCTTGAAGATCTTGGATATCAAGATGGGCATCTTATTCTCTCGGCCACCTTAAAACAGAAGGAAAAAGGCCATGACAGAGATTGCATGCACCTGGGCACCAGCCAAGCCCAGCAAACGTGTATCCCTCTTCCAGGCCACTACTCCCTTGCTGGGACTAGCCCATAGCTCAGATGACCTCAGCATGGATAAGGACAAACTACTTTATAGGGCTCCAAAAAAACTATGAGGGAATCCAAAGCCACTCTGAGAACAAACTTGTGCTCTTGCCATCTCCCATTGGTTTTGGCAGGGAAACCGCTTCTTCACTTGCACTATTAATTGCATGTGCTGAGTGACCACCTTTGCTCCGAGGTCTGCATGTCCCAAATGGATAAGATGGCTGAATGGTTGGAGAGGCAAAAGAGCCAGAGAGAAATCTGGACATTTGCTCCTCTCCACACAGGAGCCCTATTTACCTGCTCTTCCCTGTTCCCCAGCCTATTCAAGCACCGCTGGAGCATGCGGAGATCAATTCTCACATTAACTTTTGAACCTGCGGGTAGATGCGAGCAGCGTTTCCTCCCAGGAGCTCGAGAGCAGCAATTACCCTTAATCTCTGCTCTGTTGCAGAAGAGCGTTTCACGCACCGGGACAGAGCAGCACCGTGATTGCAGGTCACCTGGTGTCCTAGGGCTAAGCAGAGCCTCTCCTGCAGAGATGAGCAGTTGTCCCCAAGGCAGATGGTGACCCCAGCTTGTGCAGCAGCAGCGTGCCCAAGAGCAGAAAGCACTGGGTGGCCGCCCTGGGGTTGCTCGAAGCCGCTGCCACAGGCATTTCCTTGCTCAGATATCTGTAAAACTTGGTGTGTAGCAGAGGACTCTCCTTATCAGCTGTCAGAGAGGCCTCTGCAGGGGTCTCTGCAAGAAGCTTGTCCTTAGAGCAGTGATTCCTAATCCGTGCTGGGGCTGAGGACACGGGGAGCCTCCCGCCAGGGCATCTCCAGCGCCCCTGCCCAGTGGCCAGAGCAGGAGGTGGAAGAAGCACCGGAGGCCACAGGGGAGTGATGAGGCTGCGAGAGGGTTTCCCATGCCTGTCCCCAGGGAAGAGGCAGTCGTATGAGCAGCTCACCTCTCATTCCTCCGTGGAAAACACATCGCCAGACTAGACATTTAGCCCCCATGCCAACCCTCCCCAGGCACCTCTGGATATGCAGGTCTCAAGAAGTAAACTCCAGAGCAAACCCTTAGCAGGACTTGGGGGCAGCAAAAGAAGCGGCCCCCCACAGCTGACTGTAGCATGTAGCTAAGGGCTGGGGATGCGGCCCAGGGCAGGGAGCAGGGCCATGGCCAGGTCTCAGCAAGCTCATGACACAGATGAGGTGTGCAGCTGGGAGCCTGGAGTTGCCCCTGTGCCCTTGACCTAACACAGCCCCTGGGTGCTCCCAGCTGCAGTATCAGCCCCTGAGCTACAACCACATCCCCAGATCAGCCTAACGCAAAGAGCAGCACCAGCCTTGGCCACCTCCACTCATGCTGCACAAACCGCGGCTGTTGTTCACACCAGGAACCAAGGGCAAGCATTTCTGCAGCATAACGGCCGTCTGCCTCGCACTCTTGCCCAGAAGAGGAGAACCAGGGCCAAAGGCGGCACCTACTCTAGGATTGCTGTATGGTGTCAGTCCCGTCCCACCCCAGGCCACTGCTGAGAGCAATGCAAGGTGGATGAGGCTGGAAGCAGAGAAGCAAGAGGCACTTGTGCGGCCTCAGCCCCAGGGCATGCGGGTGTTCTGCAGCGAGGAGTCCTCAGATAACACGAGCTGCCCTGCAGGCTGGGGCCAGGCTCTCTGAGCACTTCAGCTCCACAGAGAGCTGTAAAACCTAAGCTGCTTTCACACCTCCCCTGGTATGGACTTCTGTGGGAAAGTCTGAGGTTAAGATACATGAAATGTATTACTTTTTAACTGGGAAGCATCAGCACCCCTGCTAAGAAGGAGAAATGTTCCCCCCCTCGGCAGCAGTGGCAGTGACCTTCGGAGCTGCACAACCAGCTGGGACAGTTGACAGCTCCCATTTGGGATTACTGCTGTGTGTTTTCCACATATTTCCCTTTCCTAGCAGAAATAGCAGAGCTAGCAATAACTTTGCAGCCAAGGAGTTATCATAAATGGGATTTTAAACTACCCCAGAGGGAACACTGGCAAGCTCAGGCATCCTGTGGCAGCAGTCACGGCAAGTAGCAGGTCAGGAGCAAGCTGCTGTTCCCATCCAGACCAACAGACATCTGCATCACAAACTCTCCCTGTGCCAGGCACTCATACGGCCCGAGCAGAAGCAGGAGCCTGAGGCTCGATTCCCTCTGCCCACCTGAGGTTAAGCCATGTCAGAGGACAAGATTCATATACCCCTGCCCTGGCCCGTGGGCCACCGAGCATGCAGACCGGCCTGCCATTACATTAAATTACAAACTCTCCTCCCCATACAAGTGGACGGACCTTGGCCCGCGGCTGTTTAATCCTTCTTTCTCTGAACTTCTAACAAGCTCAGAGCTGCATGAAAAATAAACACAAGAAGAAACACAATCCCTCTCCCGTGAAGTTTCCAGCCTAAAGTTCAGGAAAGTCACCAAGGAGCAGAGCGGCTCAGGAGGGGAGCAGTGGAAAGGAAAACACGGATTATGACAACAAGGCTTCCCTGCTGCTCAGGCCTCCAAGACCGGACATCTTCAAGCTCGAGTGTTCTTTTAGTGCCCCAGGTCTTACGCGCTACTCTGCGTGAAATCCCCAAGGACTTTACAAAGGTTGCAGGCATTTTCTCCATTTTGCTGACAGCTTAAAAAGGATATTTGTCAGACTAGTGGACCCAGGGATCACTGAAAAGACGAGGACAAGCATGCAGAGACCTCCGTTTGCTGCAACGGAGCCGCTTTTCTGTAAGGCGGGTACCCTGCACACCCCATCCGTTCCATCAGACACCTCCCCTAGCAGGAAAGTGCCAGCGTGTGCAACGTTGCAGTGAGAGAAGCGGCTCTGCCAGCGAAGCACCCCTGGCAGAGCACCCCCAGCAGTGTCCCAAATATAGGCAAGCCCTGTGCCTGGTTGTGTCCCCAAAAAGCCACCCTGTTCCCCGACTCAGTGCAGGGGGCAGCCTGGTCTCCGAGCTCCCTCCAAACGTCCTTGAGCCCCCTCGTCCTCCCACTTTCAACCTTGTCCTCCCTCACCTGCTCTGAGGTGGGTGACAGGATGGACGGAGGTGCCAGCACTGCAGCTCCCGCCCGGTCTAAAGCAGCCCTGGGGATAACAGCCCAGCTGCAGAGTACAGGCTTGAGGAGGCAACAGGTCGCTGCCCCGGACACCCCGTCCCGCAGGTCTCGCTGCCA